GCAAGGACAAACTCTTGATGCGACAGTGGCCTTCTAGACGTTCTGGATTGCAGGATGGGTTCTTCTTTACAATAATGCCTGAGTCATCAGTAATGATTAAGCTTAGATCACTAACTCTGTTTTACTATTCAGGGTCATGTGCAATGGATTTTAGAAATATCTCCCTCCCCCAAAGCTAAAGTGAAAATAAAATATTAGTGCATAAAAGGTAAGCTTCAGCTACACACAATTCATTTATGGTTTTTGAATAAAATCTCTCCTTCAGTTCTTACACCTGCGGCAAGGGATCATTATTCTTATTTCTGTTTCACAGAGGAGGAAGCTGGGGCTTCATGAAGTTCATTGATTTGCTCAAAGTCCATCTCCAAACTAGTATAAGGTAGTACTGGTTTTTCATACCCAGTTGTTTTGCTCTAAAGGCTGAGTTCTTGGCCTCCTGGCCTCAAGAGATCTTACTGCTTTGGCCTCCCAAAGTGTTAGAATTGCAGGTGTGAACCACTGTGCCTGTAATTCCAGGGCTAATACAGTATTCTTAAGGAAAAAAATGCTATAACATAGCTGTTATGGCTAAATCTGGTATATGTTCACTTATATTAGTTTTTTCATTTTCTTTTTTTTTTTTTTGAGACGAAGTTTCGCTCTTGTTACCCAGGCTGGAGTGCAATGGCGCGATCTCGGCTCACCGCAACCTCCGCCTCCTGGGTTCAGGCAATTCTCCTGCCTCAGCCTCCTGAGTAGCTGGGATTCCAGGCACGTGCCACCATGCCCAGCTAATTTTTTTGTATTTTTAGTAGAGACAGGGTTTTACCATGTTGACCAGGATGGTCTCGATCTCTTGACCTCGTGATCCACCCGCCTCAGCCTCCCAAAGTGCTGGGATTACAGGCGTGAGCCACTGCGCCCGGCCCAGTTTTTTCATTTTCTGAAGATGTACAAGTATAAAAACAATGTTTAACTGTGATCACAAGCTTGGAAAATACGTTACGTAGGCAGGCAGGTAGCAATATATGTTCCAACGTCAGTTGAGCTAAAACATGAAGAAATGCATCACCGATTGAAATATATAAATTACCTGAAGTTTTGTGGATGATGCTTAAAGAAACTGCTCAAAAAACAATGGTGATACCTGTCGTGGGTCCAGTTAGACCATTCGTCAGATCAGCTCTCAAATGTTAAGCCTGGAATTTAATGTCCTACGCAGGCAACAATTTCTGTTATTTTCCTGAAGGTGGACTCCTAGTATAATAAAAAGATTTCTGTATAGTTAAAAAGAAGAGAATACCCACGTTTGAACCCTACACTTGCTGTTTACTAGATGGAGAAGCTAGCTGCAGGTTAAGAGAGCAAGTATTCGTTTGAATAAACATGGAGATGACATAACACAAATGAGAAACACCTGCTCTTCCAACTTCCCAGGGTTGCTGGGAGGATCAAAGGGGATAAATGAGTATGCTCTGTGAATAGCTAGTATCATCACATTAATATGTAGTATTATTAAAATGGTAATTCTGTTTTTACATGGGTTATATAATTTCAGATGGCTCACCTTTAGTTTCCTTGGTGATTGTTTTTGGTTGAATCTAGACTGAGGGTATCAGGAGAGTTTTATCTCCTTGAGGAATTATACCTTTGTAAATTTTGAGGTTTCAATTCAGTTTTGTTGTTTGATTTGAGTTGGTATGTGAAGTAGGAGGTACGGAAAGTGCCCCTGAATATCCAACAGAGAATGGCATGGAGTTTATCTATTTAAAATCAAAATACTTCACTTATTTTAGGAAATTTTCAGGCACTCTGCCAAAGCCTAGTGACTCTATGGCAATTCGTAGAGTTTTTATTAGTCAGTCCATGCTAACGTGGTAACAGGGACTAATATGCTGCTCTTTTTCAGGTCTTTTTGTGCCTGGCTTTAATTTTTGAACAGTTTTCAGGATGTGCAGTGGCTCTCCTAAATAATATCACATTCTGAGCATGGTTCCATAAGGAAGATTTATAAAACTGACCTCGATATCAAGCCTCACTCTACTGCAAATAGAAAACAGGAGAGACAGCCTGTCTGTGGCATCACCCCCACCACCTCATTTTGAACAGGAAATGTAACGCCTTGTCTACAAAAATAACGAGGCTGTATCAGGTGTGTGGCTGGCCTCTTAATAAAGAGAAAAATACTATGCGTTAGGGGAGGCAATGCATATTGACTAAAGAGCCCAGGCTCTGAAACCATACAGACACGTTTTACTTAAGCTTCCTAAATACAACCAAGTGACTTAAGCTCCCTTAACCCCAGTTTTCACATCTATAAAATAGATTATTATAACCACCACAGGGTTATTGTCGCTGGTAAATGAAACAGCTTTTGTAAAGTGATATCTAACATATGATAATTATTATGAACCTACAATTCATAATAATTATTACCATGATTATTATTGATGGAATAATAATTCCATCAATACAGAGGATGGAAATAGAGAAACTGATGAAGGAAAAGAGAGCAATGTGTCCATGGTCCTGCTGTTAAACACCTTATGTATGCAACTTTTCCAAAGCCTGTTTCATTCATCTGTAGTGTAACTGATCTATTCTCTTGGTACTGGGTTATCCAACAGTTCTTTTAGCATTAATTGTACTACAGTAAGAACAATTAAGTTCTGTGACATTTTGTTTATAAGATCTATAACCATAGTTACTACATTTTTATTATTTTAGATGTAGTCTCACTCTATCACCCAGACTGGAGTGCAGTGGTGCTATCTCTACTCACTGCAACCTCCACTCCCCTGGGGTTCAAGCAATTCTCCTGCCTCAGCCTCCCAGGTAGCTGGGATTACAGGTGCCTGCCACCACATCTGGCTAATTTTTGTATTTTTAGTAGAGATGGGTTTTCACCATGTTGGCCGGGCTGGTCTCGAACTCCTGACCTCAGGTGATCTGCCAGCCTCGCCTCCGAAAGTGCTGGGATTATAGAGACATGAGCCCCATGACTAGGTTATTCATGATTTGTATTTTGTTACGGAGAAAAACACCTGTGTAAGGCTAATATATGTACATATTATATATATGGTATAGCTGATAAATATATATAAAATATATACATATGTATATATATAAAACATACACTGATGAAAGAGAGCAATATATATATAAACCTGTTATACATATGTATATAAACTGTGTAATATATGCATATATAAACCTGTGTAAGCCTAATATATGTACATATAAAACTTTACATATATAAATATATTTATAAGTATATATATACACACACACATACACATATATATATGTTGCCTATGTCAGGACTATTTTTTGATGTCTCAAAGGCACAGCTCTGTGGAAACCTATAAAGGGTTTGAGGAACTTACTCCAGAAATACTACCCAAACTGACCTACTTCTGTTTTGCTGAACTCATATCTGAGTGTTGATGTTTTTTTTAAACAAAGCCCCTTCTGCTCTATATACCTCTCTTCAGATGTCATGTAGCTCAAGATAAGATGAATGTTGCTCCAACGCTGATCATTGTCCAGGACTATCTGATATTAAATGAACCTATCTAGCCTAGTAATCTTCAAGTATATGCCAGGGTGTGTGTGTGTTTGTGTGTGTTTGTGCTGTTTACTTGTGAGTAGTAGAGATTGTCATCTGGTGGTGACATCTCCATTTGGTTAAGTTGTGGGACTGGTGGAACAGACTTACTTCTTATTATTTTTTGAGACAGAATCTCTCTCTGTCGCCCAGGCTGGAGTGCTGTGGCCTGATCTCAGCTCACTGCAACCTCCCCCTCCCAGGTTCAGACAATTCTTCTGCCTCAGCCTCCTGAGTAGCTGGGACTACAGGCGCGGGCCTTGGCTAATTTTTGCATTTTTAGTAGAGACAGGTTTTTACCGTGTTGGCCAGAATGGTCTTGATCTCCTGACCTCGTGATCTGCCCCGCATCGGCCTCCCAAAGTGCTGGGATTATAGGCGTGAGCTACCGCGCCCGGCCTATACGGATTTTTTTTTCCTCTTCCACAGGGGACATAGGTTGAGAAGCTCTGTCCTGGCAATTTCATGTTCAGTGCAGTTTGATGGTGATAAAACTCCTGAAGGAGGCAAGGGTGAGGCCTGAGCCTTGGAGAGGAAGTTGTTGCCAGACAGGCCTTCGGTTGACTTTAAAGCTGGAAGCCACATTGATAGAATCTGCCTGAAAGAAAGTCACCGCCTGTCAGATCCATGCTCCACCAGCTGATCTTTACTAAGCAACAGCTCAGGGGTTTCCAGGTGGAGGCTGGGGGCCACGTGAGCTCACTTTCTTTGGTTTTCTACCCAGCAGCCCGGAATATTGCCCTCCTGAAATGGGTTTTCATCAGCTAGCGATTCCTGGAAAGGATCTTCAAGATTTTTAAGTTTCTCAGAACCTAGCGATGACTTGGAAAAGTTTTCCAAGTCACAGTGATGCATGGGTGTCTGGGGGCAGAGACGTTAAGGAGCAAGGTGCCCTTTCTGAGGACCGGTGGCATGCAAATGACTTATCAGCATGTACACAGTAGAAGAGAGGTGAAATACTTCTCACTCCAGAGACGGAAGTGACCCGAAGCTAGCAGTCCCCTGTACTTGCTCGTGTGACACCAAGCAAGTACAGGGTGCAGGAAGCAGCGAGCACGTCAGATCAGGGTGCAGGAAACTATGAGTAGCGCAGAGGAGGGTACAGACAGTAGGGAGCCTGGTGGCTGCGGCACCCGCTGGCAGCGCAGGGTCTCTGGAACTTCCAGCCACTGGCAGAGGAACCCGTGCGGCTGGAAAGAGAAACGCAGCCACTCAGCCGCTTCCACCGCGCGGGCTAAACCAGAAAAGGGTGGGGTGGGGCGGGTTGGGTGGCGCGCTCCAGCGAAGGCGCCCGCCGGGTGAGGCCGCGGCGTCCGGCGGGGAGCTCGGACTACCAGCCCCGGAGGAGGAAAGGCGCGTCCCGCCCCCCCGGGGCCGCGCACCACCAGCTGCAGGGCCAGGCGGCGGCGCCCGCTGGCGGCGCTTTCCCTCTCCGGGTCCGCCTAGGTGCGGGCCGGGCGGCGCTCGGGGGCCGGACTCCCGAGTCTCCGCTTTCCTCCCTCCTTCCCTCCTCTCGGGGCAGTCCCGAGCGGCCCGGCCAATGGGCGCCGAGAGGAGGGGGGCGGGAAGCGGGGCGCACTGGGCCCGGCCCTCCTACGGCGCCCGTGGCCTCAGCGCCAGCGCCAACGCCAACGCCAAGTTTGCGCCCCGAGAGTTTGCGCCGGTTCGCGTCCGCCGGCCTCCCGTTCGCTCCCGCGCGAACCAGGCGGCCGTGCGCCCCGTGGCGCAGCCACCCTCGAGCACCCGGGCGGGAGGACGCCGAACAGGGGGTGTTGCGGGCAGGGGCCGGGGCAGCCACCTCCCGAAGATGCAGGATGGCAGCAGAGCCGCAGCCGTCCAGCCTCTCCTACCGCACCACCGGCTCCACCTGCCTGCACCCGCTCAGCGAGCTCCTGGGCATTCCGCTGGACCAGGTAACCGCGGGCCAAGGGCGCAGCGACCGCAGCTCCCCGGGGATTGCGGGCGTGGGGCGGGCGAAACTGTTATCCGCGGTCCCTCCGCCTCCATGGCGCATTTTACAGCCACACACTAGACAGTTGAGCTTTTTTTTCTTTTTCCTTTCCTTCTTGAGTTGGTGTTAGTATTTTTCCTCCTTGTAAGTGTGAAAAATAGGGTACAGCCTGCGCGGCAAGTTCGATGGAACATTTTTTTAAAGTTTGGGATTACCTCCTTTCCTGTAATCAAGTTGTGAAGTAGTCTGATAGATGAAACCAGTGTTTATTTCATCAGTGTCCTTAAGCCGTTATTATTTTTAATTGAGATAACCCTTCTTAAAAAAACCAGCGCGATTAATCTGTAGACTGTAGTCTAGAGATTTTGAATGCAAGACCTGAGTTTTAGACTTCTGCGGTGAGGCTTGTTCGGGGTGACAGTTCCTTCGTACCGTGTGTGATGCGGGGCACCCAAGGACGCTTTGGTTTTCCCAGGACCTTTTCCAACCTTTATTCGGTTGGCTCATTTGCCTGGGTCTGGCGCTTCTGAGTAGGATAGGTTAGTGGGAGGACAGGGGCCCCAGTGAAGTTATTTGAACTGTCCAGGAATTATCTACAATCATTAAAATTAAAAATGGCAACAAACGTGATTCCTGGCAAGAAACCTCCCTGAAGATGAAGCTTGTCTTACTCATTTCCTTGTCTCTTTAGGTGCTGCAGACTAGATCGGGGACATACTTAGTAGTGAGCCAATCAGTAAATGTTGATTTAATTGGAATTGGGCAGGGCGTGTAAGGGAAGGTGACGACCCCCTGCACTCCTGTTTTGCCTGGTCGGCTTCTCCTTCCTCTCACCAGTGCTCCTTTTCCTTTGCTTTTAACGAGAGCATACCTGCTGTCCTTTCCACACACCCCTTCAGCAATGAGAAAGTGAGACCTGGACATTTGCTTTATTCGGGTCCTGTTTACTGAGCCACCCTCATACCTGGCTCACTCTGAGGACTTGACTTAGAACTCCACCTGATGAGACCATTGTCTTCTCATCAGTTGCAAAATCCGGAAAATCAGGAACTTGGGAAGGGTTTCAGGTGCCAAAGCATTTCTGCTTATGTAAATTACCCTTTAGTTTCTAGTGAGGATGAGATAGACCTCAGGACCCAGGCAGAGACAGACAGACATAGCAATTTTTTTTTTTTTGTAGAGACAGTCTCCTGTCACCCAGGCTGGAGTGCAGTGGCATGATCTTGGCTCACTGCAACACTCCCTGCTTCCCCATTCAAGCAATTCTCAGCCTCCTGAGTAGCTGGGACTACAGGTGCATGCCACCATGCCCAGCTAATTTCTTTTGTATTTTAGAGTTTCACCGTGTTGCCCAGGCTGATCTCGAACTCCTAAGTTCAGGTAATCTGCCTGCCTTGGCCTCCCAAAATGCTAGCATTACAGGTGTGAGCCATCACACCCAGCCAGCAGATTCTTTAGTTCTGAAGTTAAATAAAACTCACAGCTGAATTTCCTTAAGGGGAGTTTGTTTTGATCCTGCCTCTCCACTCCTCTTAGAGGGTATTTTAATTGCATTTTCTCTTCTAATCTCTTCTGCACAGGTGGAAAGACTCCTGGGAGGCTTTTATAGGGCTAAAGGACCATGGCAAGTTACGACTGGGAGGTGCCAGAATTATGTTCTTAATGTCTTTCAGTTGCATCCCCTACTTTTCTAGAAAAGTAATTCTGGTTTTAATTCATAAAAAGGAACAAAAGAGCCTTAGGGATGTTTAAGATTGGGAGGGAGGGAGGGATTTCTGGGAAAAACTGAAGGAGGAATGTTAGCCGTGGTCAGGAGCCCCTGGGATCTGTTAGCTTTAAGGTTGGTCTGACCACCCTCCAGCAGGAGTCTGAAAGACCCTTGGTGGAAGAAGCACTTAAAAGGCAGTGCCCCAGGTAGCTTATTTTAGGCCCAGGGAAAATCCCCAAACCATAAATAATGTAGTTTGAAGCTACATTGTGTTTTGTGAGTTTGGAAACTTGGTGTGTTTTTCCCTCGCACATTTTTAAGGCTTCTTAAGGGCTTAGGTGTCGGACTGACCTGGGTACAATTCCGGCTCTGCCAGTGAACTTCCTCTGTGACTGCCAGCTGGAACTCTACCCTCTTGGAGCCTCAGCATCCTCATGTAGAATGGGAGATGTCAATAAGACCTACGTTTTGAAGTTGAGAAATTTATATGATGCAAAATGCCTTACATTAGGAAGGGTCTTGTATCAGACAGGGTCCCTGCAGGAAACGGGAATCAACTCCATTGGCTGAAATGAACAGACTAATGAATTACTCAGAGGGATATGGGCAAGATTAAGGGAATCAACAAAGGGTATTGAGGTGCTGAGATCAGAAATAGGGGGCAGCTGGAAGGGAAAGTGGAAGAACTTCATTGCCGTTTGTGAGAGCTGGACCTGCCTGGATGTCCTGAAGGATCAGAGAGGACCTCAGCCCTGCTTCCCACCTTGCAGCCCTTCTGTCTCTTCCCAGTGGCCCCCAAGGGTTCCTGGCCTCAGCCTGGAGGGGCTCCTCCTGTGGCACAGGGCAGGGAAGAGAAAGATTGAGTCAGATCTGGGGGGTAACCTGAGGATAAGCGTGCAGGCTTTGATATATGTTTGCTCCTGTCCCATTAAAGAGTGACTTGATTGGCCTGGGATATGCTCAAAATTATAAAATATGTTTCATAAGTTGCCCAAATTATTCTTTGTATGCCTCTTAAGGACACTGAATCATTTTCATAATGTCTTAACATCCTGATTCCTGATTGATTCCACTCCTATAAATGTCTTTAGCTTCTGGATCCTGTGTCAAGTAGTTTATTATCTGCAAAAATGGAAATATCTGGTAAGCATGCTGCTTCGTATATGAGGAACTGTGTATTATTTTTCATCTGATTCTTGCATTTATCTGTTCTGTTAACTTTGGGGCACCCTTCAGTAGGAAAGCCAGTGTGTGGTTAGGTCTACACTCAGGAAAAGTCTGTGGTTTTTGTTTTCAGGGATTTTTATTAGTCTCACATCCTCCTAAAGATGTGAAATGTAAAATTATCTCACTTAATTAGAGACAAATAGAGCATACCAATTCAGATGCAGCATATAGGAAATGGATGATGATTTAGGGGCCTCTACAGATGCTTCAAAGATAGGTTTGTTGAAAACTTTATTTCTAAATGAGGGGCCCCTGTCCAGTAAGCAGATACGGAACTATGGTAGTTAGTAGGATTACTCCAATAAGAGGTTTCACTTAGGATAAATTAGGCCAGCACTTTTCTTTGCGGTTTAGGGGGAATCAAGGAATCATCTACTCCTGTCTTCACTTTGTTTGGTTGTGGGTGTAACTTGATGTGCTTTTAAACTAAAGGTTCGCAAGATTGACTCAGCTGCCAAAACAGATATGATAATGTTGATGCTAGTAATTTGTGTGGTGCACCATTACGTCCCAGGAGCTGTGAAAGCTGAAATGGAAAGTGTTTCCAGGCTTGAAGAAACTTCCAATTTAGTGGTGGGAAATTCTACCCACCACCAAAGCATTTTTGGGATATTTTACCTGATTGTGCCCCAAAACGGTGGGTGTGTGTGCATGAAATATGAATTCAGTATTACGCCAGGACTCTTTTGAGTTTCTGGTTGTTTTTCTTCTAATTTAGCATCAGCAGAAAAAGGGGCAAGGGGAAAATAGACCAGGAGATAAGAATCTAGGAAATAGTTTTGAGATGGAAAAAAGTGAAGGCTTGGGATTATTAATGTAAGCTTGTGTCACAGTTTAAAAGTCTGGATGAAGGAAGACCAGCTTTACAGACGTGGAGCTCCAGACTAATGGTGATACCAGGAGTGAGTCTGATGATTTCACCTGGCCCGTGACTGCAGTTTCTTTACCTGCCTGGAGCTCTCAGTCACCTGATTGGTTTCCTTGGCCCTGCTTGCAAAGCCCAGCCTTCAGTTCTTTTCTTATCTGAGTCTCGTCCTTCATTAAAAGCTCAGCTCACATTCCAGTCATTGTTAAATCAATTAAATATTTATTTAATATTATTAGCACCAGGTACTCGGCCATGTGATAGAAACACAAGGATAAAAAAAATCAAGGTCCCCATCCTACAAGAACTTATATACTATAGAGGAAAGAAAAGGCCCATGTGAGTATAGGTTCTCTATGTTCACAGACCCATGTAGATGCTGTACAGGTTTGTGGATGGTGCCATGGTGGATCAGAGAAGGGAGGTCCACAGGGCATCCTGGACTCTGATAGAATTTACTGTTTCCATTTGATGCTTGGTAAATATTCCCTTATATTGCTAGTTATCTTGCTGGGTTTGTAGGCTTAATTCTAAACAAATTTAAAGCCTCTTTGTAGTCAAGGTTTGAGTTCCCATTTGTGGGTCCTGACATCTAAATTTCATGTAATTTTCACGTCTTGAAATGTTCTTCCTTAGATGTTTTTAAACCCTTTAAAATGTAAAATGCATTTGTTGCATGGAGGCCACACAGAAATAGGCAGTGGGCTGGGTTTGACCTGATCATCAGATTTCCTCAAATATGGTGCCTGGATGTCACCATGAGGATCTTCAGCCACGGGTGTTTCTGGGATCCACCCCTGTCCTGCTGAGTTTGAGTATCAGGGTGTGAGGGTGCTCCCCGGGTGATTCTCATGGCAGCTACAGTTTGAGAGCCATAACTATAGTCAAGGGAGGACACTGCAGGGTTTAAGTTGTGAGAAGATTTTCATTTTGTAAAGGGGTACAGAAGGTCCTCACCGGAGGAGGTAGGGATGGAGGAGGAAGCGGGGGTTTTGCGGATGAGTGCAGGGTTGGAGAAGGATTTAAGGAAAATTGAGAAAGCACTGACAAGGTCAATTGAGTGAGCTGCTGAGTATCATCAACCTCCTGGAAATTACACATTTTTAGATGGATGAATATGCACCAATATGTGCTTTTTTTTTTTTTCTTTTAGCAGCTCCTT